CCCGCAGAAGAAGGTTGTTGCAGCGATGTGTTCCAATCTCCCAGGATCGCAAGGTGATTCCGCTTTGGACATCGTGTCAACAGTGTTTGAAGTTCAGTCCAAAGTGAAGCTCTATCTTCAATACGATCTCGTGTATGTATGTGTTGGTAGATATTGATGAAGTCAAGATCTCGGCCAGTGCCATGAATTCTGAAATGAACCAAGCGGCCTGGTACAATGTCCTGCCAAGAAAGATCATCAGCAGTGCAAAGATCCTTTGAGATCAGGCAGAGAAGTCCACCACGACCATCGTCAGCTCCACTGTGAAGCACATGATATTGATCCATGGTCCACGTGCTTGTAGTTTTCCAATGCGTTTCCTGTAACAGGAGAATGTCCAACCGTTGACTAGAGATCCATTGTTGCAGAAAGTCCCAACCCGAGGGAGAGAGACCTCCACAGTTCCAGCAAAAACACGTGAGTCTTTGTCTTCTCAATCTGCGATTGTGGATGACATTTTGTGTTTTTGGAAAATCCTGATTGGGAACTTTTTGAACGGTACCCAGTTGTTGCGCAGTAAAGAGTCTACCCTGATACAGAGTAAAACCATGAAGTTCAGCACGTTTCACTGCTCTGCGAAAACTGCGTTTCTTGATGCATTGTTTCTTTTTGGGTTGGGGTAGCTCTAAAGCATATTGGTGCTCCTCGACATGTGATTTCGCAGTGAGAGACCAAGGAGGAAACTCAACTGCTCTCACGCTGGTCACGCCCCCAGCGCAACCCTCACTCCACAGCACCCCTGCAAGAAATGGCAGTATGGTGAGGCCACAAAGCCACACCAACCAGCAGATTCGTGGATGGCGTACTGCTCGGACTTGGGACCGAGTTGGGGTCTGAGTAACACTTTGTCTCCTGCCAAATAAGAAAAGATCCTTGTGGAAAAACTGAAAAATTCCAATCGTAGTTTGAGCCAGAAAATCACCAATGCTCAGCAACTTGTAGATAAAGGGCACTTTGTCCAGCAGTATCTGAAAATCGTAGTCACCAATGAGCCAATGGCAAAATAGGCCAGGATGAGTGAACTGCAAGCACAGGCCAGTAATGATGAGAAAGGGAGCCCACCCCATAAACCACGATCAGTGAAGAGGTTCAACCAAAAGTCCTTAGGGTCCAATGGCAAGGAGAAAGAGGTCAAAGTCAATCTGATAGATCAATGCAATGAAGTAGTTCCGCCGCAGCGCAGCAGCCAGGCAGCAGCAGTGCAAGCTCAGCAGCAGCGCCGGCAATGCAAGGTCCCGCACCGCAGCCAGCACAGGGAGTGAAGTCGATGATCTCCGCGCCGTGCCGGCGAACAAGTACCAAACGGTCGGGGGGCCACGGCTGCAGCAGACCAAAAGGTGTCAGAATGACCCTTGAGTGTGGTACTCGAGACCACAAAGGAGCTTGTGTGTGTGTGTACGTACCATCTGTATAGATGTAAAACTTCAATTTTCGCAGGGGGGCAACAGGGGGGCAACAGCCCATCTTCCTATGTTGACCAACGAAGCTACGGAAGATGTGGTGGGTGGGTTCATGGACGCATGAACCTGCACCTGCTTTATTTATTTATACATAGTCCCGCCCCTGGGCGCATATAAGCCGCAGCTGGGGGTACATATATCTTATCGCTGTTGTTTTATACGGTCAATGTCTACTGTGAAAATATGTCTATATACGAATATATATATATACTGTATATACTTTTAATAATTTTCATTCTTCGTGTCAGTTTATTGGTGATGTTCTTTGCACATCCGATGCATTTCACATCAGAATTCGCAATGACTGTTCTGAGCAAGTGTGTGATTCATGCTGGATTCGTCAAGGTGGCATGAACCCTTCGGGGAATGCTTTTCTAAGCAAAATGTGGACGTGGAAAATTGATGTCGGAATTTACACGTTTTAACCTGGTAATTCGTCTAAGTAAAGTTCAACAGTTGGCCATTTCTCAATTTTCACCCTGTCGCCTGTCGACGTGTTGAACAACGGGCCGCCGTGTGGCTTCATTCCTTTCAGAGAGATTAACTGTCCAGAGTAGACTGCTGAAAGCCGCGACAACACTTCTTTATTCCGCTGCTTGAGAGTTTGACAGACATGCATCATCAGTGCAGCATGATGGAACCTTCAGGCAGGCACATGACTTTAGGTGTGGTCTCCTTTTCTTGATGGTTTCTGGTGAGGTTCAATTGTGCACGATTCATTTGAACACTGACAGCCGTTTATGGGGTTGACGTGAAATTGAGGCCTTTGAGCCTGAAACAAGGGGAATCTTGCATGCTCATGTGGATGCATCGTTTTTTCAACTAGCTCCCCATGGGTCCCCTATTTCATGTGTTCTTGCGTTCTCCTCTCTACAGGTAGGTTTGGTCCTTGCGTGCTGAGGTTGGTGTAGGTCTTCGCTGTGTTAGGTTGGTTCAGGCGCTTCTGTCTTCTCCCTCCTCCGCTGGTCTTGTTCCGTTGTTCGTCGGCCTTCGCTTTTCTTTTCCCTTGCCTTTTCAGGGTTTGCCCGTTCCGGGCCAGGTGTGTTGTGTTGGTGTTCTCTCTTTACCTCTTCTCTTGCGTTCCCCTCTTCGCGTCCTGGTTAAGTAAATTTCATTTCATTGTCATTGTCATTTCACTTTCATTTTCACTTCACCTGCCCCGCTGCGGTGGGGCGTGTGTGTGTGTGTGTACCATCTGTATAGATGTAAAACTTCAATCTTTCGCAGGGGGGCAACAGGGGGGCAACAGCCCATCTTCCTATGTTGACCAACGAAGCTACGGAAGATGTGGTGGATGGGTTCATGGACGCATGAACCTGCACCTGCTTTATATATTTATATATAGTCCCGCCCCTGGGCGCATATAAGCCGCGGCTGGGGGTACATATATCTTATCGCTGTTGTTTTATACGGTCAATGTCTACTGTGAAAATATGTCTATATACGAATATATATATATATACTTTTAATAATTTTCATTCTTCGTGTCAGTTTATTGGTGATGTTCTTTGCACGTCCGATGCATTTCACATCAGAATTCGCAATGACTGTTCTGAGCAAGTGTGTGTTTCTTTCAATCGTTTCTTTTAGTCTAGATTTGAAATAAGAACCCCAATAGCCTCGCTATCTGGGAAAAAACATGTGAAGGCATATGTTGTTGGGGCTATGTTTGCCTTTGTGGCAATAGCTGTCAGGTGGTCTCCTTCCGTCCTGTCGTGTCCAGTGCATCTGCAGGGTTCAAAAAAGCATGGTCTGCAGTCAAGAAGCCAACTTTGAACAACTTTTGCGCTCACCGAAGGCAAAGTAGTGCAAGGTGATGCGGAGTCCACATGTGAGTCACGCCCAAACATTTTCCAGAGGCATCAGTGGTCTAGTGGTAGAATACATCGTTGCCATCGATATGACACAGGTTCGATTCCCGGCTGATGCACATTGCTCTCATGAGTGGGCGAGAGTGGGTGAGATAGTGAGGTGAAGGGGAGCCCCACAAAATTAAGAGGTTGGCAATCACGGACACATGATTGCCTGAAGTGCAAGTCAGCTGACTTGGCGGACTTCGGAATTTAGAGCTGCTCGGTGCGAGCGCTTGGCAAAGAAGCCACAAGGCCCCGCCTCTTGTGTGCGCCCATCACTAAATTCAACTAGGCTTTCATCCCAAATTCTTGAGCATAAAACCACCATGTTAAGGATTTAGAGAACCCATCCAAAAGATTTCGATTGAATGTAAATACCGTGTGAGCCTGGACTTAGCAAGTGAGCATTACATCATTGAAAATGCTATATCCCCCTTACCCGGTCGCCGGACCATTCATCGTTTGTTCAACTCAACCACGTTTAGTCTGATTCGAGGTAGGATCATGGGATTGTCACTACTGTACCAGGGAGTTACAACAATTTCAAAAATGATCAGAACATATCATATATCTGACGGCTTTCCGCGATCGCTGGTTTATACCCTCATATTGGTTTCCCAAAATGATGAAAATGGCATTGGAGGTGACGGCGAACCAGGCGGCCTGCCCGATACATATATATATATTTATTTATTTATTTATTTATTTTACATATACATATACATACATTTTATATATAGATATACACACACACTAATTATATATATAATTATATAATTATATACTCTTTTTTATACATATGGTTTTGTACCATTATGTATCACTTTTTTCGGATTGGATGTTACTAACGTCCATCTTTTCAAGGCCCGCCTTGCGAACCTGGCATAGCAAAAACGCATCGCCATCGCAGGGGCGCCTGGGGAAACCAATGGCCATGGGGGGTTCGCAATAGCTGGTTGACATGGAAAATCCGTTGGAAAAAATGGATGATAACTTGGGGGATTCCCGGAAAGCTGAATTTGGGTAATTGATCTGTCTCAACTGGCAGCAAATTCTCGAAACCATGTTCGAAATTCGTGCGAATCAAAAACATGTTTTTCGCAGAATCAAGAGAATCTATCATCAACCCATCAACTTGTTTCTAGCCGCAGATGCATCAAACAGATCCATAGTTTCATCAAAAAATGGAAAAATGGTTAACCATTACTTGTTAAGCATCTTGAAATGGGAACATATAGCCAATATTATATTAGAATATATCACTGTAGATACCTGCAATCTTTGGTAAACCACCTCAGGTCAGTTGTATTCATTTAGGGACCCCCAAGGAAGGTCCCCTCAGCCAGGGTCTCTATACATTTCATCAGCGCCTGCCACGCAGGGTACCCTGGTCGCTCCGCTGTGGCCCCAAAGTGCAGCAGCGGGTATGGTCGACAGTCAAGACCTCTATGATCTTCCCATACAAAATTGGAAACCCAGACCTATGTGGCTACACCATGCTACACCAACCCTTTTGGTGTTGATTCATGGCCACATCTTTCATATTGGAATTCTATCTGCAATTTTTGACCACACCCATTTAGACACCCCGATTCATTCGTGGGTCGTCCTGGTTCGTCACACCGCCGCTCCCATCATCCCATCACACTCTTCTCGCGGGAAATCAGCGCGGGAGCGTCTTTGGCCCCACCGAGTTTGGCCTTCCCACAGCTATTCATCTAAGCCTTTGGCGTCTCAACCATGGGTGTTCCATAAACCAGGCATGGCTGATGTTCTGGAGCACCCCAAGGTTGTCACCTCTCCCAAATCAGAAACTAAATCCATTTTGGGGTGTCACTCACATCGGACTGGCCGCTACCCTGGCATCGAAGATTTCGTGCCCCAGGGTCGACTTCGTTTCCATGGTGGAGCAACGGCACCAACAAATACACCATCTCAGAATGAAATTTCATATATATTCATATATATTCATATATCATGTCTATTTTTCTTGGTGTAGATTTCACACGGTCAGGTAAGTGCAATATATTTGGGAAGGATTTACAACCAAAACACACCTTGAACCAAACTGCTTTGGACTTTGGACCATCGATCAACTCCTGGCCAGGATGGTGAGACATGAGTAGCCAGGAAAGTATGGCATATGGGCTACCCCCAGCACATCCAGATGGTTTACTACTACAAGTGACATACATCTTTTTGGTTGAAATCGCACGGTGGAATGTCCCATGTGTTTGCCGGCATTCCTTTTGTTGTTGAAACCTCCCATTCCTGCCAATACGTCCCACTTACGGCTGACATTCTCCATTCTTGCAGGTCCGGTTAATGAAATTTCCATCATTTAATCCCCCTTTTCCCCGAAGATTCCCGAAGATTTTCCACCTTCCTCTTCATGAACTGCATGAAAATTCCATATTCTTCCCATGTTCCCCGGACTTTACAAGAACTGCCCAGTGATTGTGCAAAATCTGCAACTGTTTTTCCAGTGATTTTCCAAAATCCCACGGCTTTTCCAATGATCTTCCAGGGTCCCAACCCCTCCTCCGCAGCCCCACCCTGCGGCCTCGGGGCTGCGGAAAGCTGAGCCTTGCGCGCGGCTTCACCACATCGTGGTCGTCAAAGTGTAGAGGCTCCATCTGCAGAAAGCTGGAGGTATAGCATATCGATTCTATCGATCTGTCAAAAAATGCGCTTCAACATACTACAACATGATATGATCATATGATATCATATGTGTCAATCCTAGGAACCCCATATGTATCATATAGCAATATTACGGAGAAATACGAGAATATCCAGCTCGGCAAGGAAAAAACAAGAGTTCTGAACAAGAATATCCATATATGGTTTTCATCATAGTTGGGTATGTCTGAAGCTTTGTGGAAAAAAGAAAACTAAGTTCATTGGTTAACCTTCAGTCTACTACAATGGCCATTTGCCTGGGTATACTGCTTGATTTCAAAATCGAAGTGTGAATTCTAAATCCAGAGGTTGATGTCTATGGGATTCTATCGATTGTACTACAAAGTAACATGATATCCAAGTGAATGATCCCCCATTTTGGGGACAAACGGGGATGAAGATTCAAACACATGGCTGGATGAAAAGTGGCTGGTTTTGACGCAACTGGATGGGTAAACATTGGGATTCAAACCACTTGCTGCTTTGGATGTGTTTAAATTTTCATGTTTTTCTCTGGTACATTTGGTCGCTTAAAACTTGATATGTTTGCTTGGCATCGAGAAACGCTAGATCCAATGACGCATTAAATGTTTTCTCTCGTGTTTTTTTCCTGCAAAAGGATAGCCGTGGGCAAGGCACAGGCCCTGCGGCCCTGCATCTTTTTGGGGTACCCGCAGTGTGACCGGTTCGACACGTCCGAAACGATGGACGGCCCCTGGAGGCTCCAGGCCGCCGCCTTGGGAACCGGTTTCGGTCGCCCCTCCTGCGGTCAGGGAAGGGCGGGCAACAGGGAGGTGACAATTGACCTGCGAAAAGTCAATTTTCAAAAAGATGTAGGATTTACCGTGATTTACCCAATAAACTATGGAAAATCTCGGAAATTGAGGCTACAGTCCTGGCCCAAAATTGTGATCAGTCGCACCCTGCATATCACTGTTGGCATTCCCTGCTAACATGGACTCCAGCATTCTTTAGACAAAAAATGGTGGTCCACCTTGCACTACCGAAATAGCACATCTAAAGAATGCCTACCCAGGGTCCCAGGCAACCAACTACAAAAAAATACAAAAAATACAAAAAAACTACAAATACAAAAGCAGAACTCTTAAAAATAGGGAGTCCATGTTAGCCATGTGGATGTCAACACGTCTAAAAAATACCAAATGTGCCCAAACATTCAATCAGTTTGTCTATTTCCCCTCTCAAAATGCCATCTCTAAAAAAATCATGACCCAGGAAGCCTTTGCAAAAAATGGGGAGTCCGGGTTAGCCATGTGGAAAAACCATCTGTTTTAGCAAAAAAAAAGTTTTTCGCGACAACCCAGGTTGTCCCATTCTTTAGTGGAAATCCCAAGGGGGATCCCTGCATGGCGATGTGTTCAAGCAAAAACGGTTGATTTACTGCGGCAGTTTTTCCCCGTGGAACCGTGTGACACGGAAGCCACGAACACAGAATACCCCCAGAGAGTATTCGGAGCCCCACGAGTCAAACGTTTTGACGAACGTCAAGTTAACTATCGTAAAACCGTCATATCAAAGAAATGCTCCTGTTTTTTGCATTTAAGGGAGCGGATTTTCCCTGAATCTTGAGTATGGGTTCTTTCACATTCATTCACCATGATTGTCTATAATCTTCTTAGCATCTCAACAATTTCTCTTGTCGACTCTCTGTGCTGTTGCACAGAGTTTGTTTCAATTGCTGAAATCAGGCTACCTCGCCAATGTTGGACAAACTAGAAAAGGCTACGCTTTTCGTTGCTTTCTGAACCCAGCTGGATTTTGTTGATTTGCTGACTGCTTTTTAATTCTTACTTTCTCCAGCTGATGCTCATCCTTTTTCCCGGCTGCCAGGTGAGGGTTGTTAGATTTTATCACAGCTGTTCCGGCTCCTTCTCCTCCACCTCCTCCTCGTCCTCCTCCTTCTCCTCCACCACCTCTGCCTCCACTTCCACGTCCACTTCCGCCTTGCCAACTCTTCGCCAAACTCTTCGCCAACTTCCGCGCGCAGTGGGCACTGCTGGACCTTAACTGCCGGCTTCCGATCTGAGTGGGCACGGCTGGACCTCAACCGCAAGGTTCTGAGCGCAGTGGGCACCGCTGGACCTCAACCAGGGACCTTCCGAGCCCAGTGGGCACCGCTGGACCTCAACCTGGAACCTTCCAAGCTCAGTGGGCACCGCTGGACCTCAGCGGCCAGATGGAATGCCAGAATATATGCCAGAAAGACTGCCAGAATATCTGCCAGATAGACTGCCAGAATATATGCCACATAGAATGCCAAAATATATGCGAGAAAGAATGCCACATAGAATGCCAGAATATATGCCAGATAGAACACCAAAATATATACCAGATAAAATGCTGGAAGATATGCCAGATAGAATATCAGAATAGATGTCAGATAGAATGTTAGGTAAAATGTCAAAATATATGTCAGAATATATGACTTGAAATGCCAAGGTGGGGATCACTCGAAGTAAAGTAATTCTATTTTTTCTCGGAGTATCATATTGCTAGAGATCTCCAATCCGTTTCAAAGTACTTTTCACTTTTATTCCATTTTCTAATCCCAACATGTCTATAAATCAGCTGGGAATTGGGCGACATCAAATGGGGAATGTGGCAATTTTTGGGGGGTGCCCATTTACCCGTGGTTGTGTCAAATATTTAAATAATCTATGGATGAGTTGGTCAGCATTTTGTATCTAATTTTGTCCTACTATGATATCAAATACAGGTTAGTTGTATCCAATTGTCTCCCCCCATCCACGGGGTCGAGTCTAACTCCCCCAAAAAAAATGACAATTTGCTACTGAAGATTGTAACCCTCCCAATTTTCATCACCCAATTTGGGTTTATTGATTTCGGGTTGAATAAGTTGAAGTTGAATTACATGGTGTTGTTCCCCACCTGCCAGGTGAGGGTTGTTAGATTTTATGTCAGTTGCCTGCTCCTCCTCTCCTCTCCTCTCCTCGTCTCCTCTCCTCGTCTCCTCTCCTCGTCTCCTCTCCTCTCCTCCTCTCCTCTCCTCCTGCTCCCTGCCACACCTCAACCACGACCATCCACGCCCAGTGTGCCCTGCCGGACCTCAACCACGACCATCACCGCCCAGTGTTCCCTGCCGGACCTCCCACCGGACCTGTTCCCTGCCGGACCACGCCCGCGAGTATCCACGCCAAAAGATATGCCACATAGAGTGCCAGAAGATATGCCAGATAGAATGTTATAAGATATGCCAGATAGAATGCCAGAAGTATGCCAGATAGAATGCCAGATAGAATGTCAGATAGAATGCCAGAAGATATGCCAGATAAAGTGCCAGAATGTTTGCCAGATAGAATGCCAGCAGATTTGCCAGATAATATGCCAGAAGATATGCTAGATAGAATGCCAGATGGAATGCCAGAAGATTTGCCAGATAATATGCCAGAAGATATGCCAGATAGAATGCCAGATGGAATGCCAGATAGAATGCCAGATCGAATGCCAGAAAATATGTCAGATAGAATGCCAGAAGATTTGCCAGTAACAAAATGTATAAATGTCATGGTGGGGATCACACGAAGTAAAGTAATTGTTTTGCTACCAAAAGCCGGTTAACAAGGGATGGTTGGCTATGTTCAACCAACAAGTATTGATGAGTCATTCGTGTTACCTACCATCTGGATCTATCTGGCACGACCACATAACTATGTAGATCACGTGTACTTACATACTCAAATTTACAAACCTGGCCCACTTTCAATACGTTGGATCTTGCCACCTTAGGCCCCTGGCAGCCTCTCGTACAATAAAGAATGGAACTGGATAAACTCCATCCACAAAGTCCTAGAACAGGGAGGGTTAATGATTAATGTGCTAGGGGCACATCAGCAGAAAAATGAAGCGCGGGCCGCTAAAAAAAATTAAACGGTGCCTCAAAAAAACTCGTCTCCGCTAGCCCAGCTAGCACTGTGCCACCACCAATGGACCCACTCCAAGGGATGATTAGGACAGAGTCATGTGGTCCCAATGCTAACCAAAAAATCGTGGGTATGGTTTATGATGTGCGCAAACGGGGAAGTGTAAATTGGGGAATGGTTATCAGTGGTTCACAATGTGGCAATGGTTTATATCGATCCAAATTAGAAATGTGACAATTTGGGGTACGGTTTATGATTGGTTTCAAGTTTGATGGTGTTTTGTGGTCACATTCTAGTGATTTCTGGGGACCGACTTTGGCTCAGTCCTTGAACCCAAATTTAGTAGCGGAACAACTGAGTTCAACCGAAATACAAATATTTTACAATGACATTAAACAAAAAAATGGGTTGGTATAGGTTACCATGTCGGATTGGCAACATTGAACCAATTAGGAGCAGCAGGTTATTCTTGGCATTGCCCATGCGATCCTTCACCACAAAACACCTTCAGAAACCAATCATAAACCATGCATTTCTAATTTGGATCGATATAAACCATTGCCACATTATGAACCACTGATAACCATTCCCTAATTTACACTTCCCCGTTTGTTTGCGCACATCATAAACCATACCCACGGTTTTTTGGTTAGCATTGGGACCACATGACTCTGTCCTAATCATCCCTTGGAGTGGGTCCATTGGTGGTGGCACAGTGCTGCTGGGCACCATTGAACTCTTGATTTAGGTAGTCAACCCTGTTGAACTCCTTGATTGACTTCACACAACTTAGATCAAACTCCGTCCAAGTGTTGTACAATGTATTGTACAAAACTCTATTGAGATGGTAGACGTACAAAGCTTCATCTAAATGGTACTGTAGATACTCCCCAGTGATCCAGGTGGTTTTCAAAACCAGTGGCATGCTGTGCCTATGAAAACGGGTCAAGGCGTGTCCCCCGCTTCATTTTTCTGCTGATGTGCCCCTAGCACATTAATCATTAACCCTCCCTGTTCTAGGACTTTGTGGATGGAGTTTATCCAGTTCCATTCTTTATTGTACGAGAGGCTGCCAGGGGCCTAAGGTGGCAAGATCCAACGTATTGAAAGTGGGACAGGTTTGTAAATTTGAGTAAGTACACGTGATCTACATAGTTATGTGGTCGTGCCAGATAGATCCAGATGGTAGGTAACACGAATGACTCATCAATACTTGTTGGTTGAACATAACTTAATCGGCTTTTGGTAGCAAAAAAACAACACCATGTAATTCAACTTAAGTCAACTTAATTCAACTTATTCAACCCGAAATCAATAAACCCAAATTGGGTGATGAAAATTGGGAGGGTTACAATCTTCAGTAGCAAATGGTCATTCTTCAGAGGGGAGTTCGACTCAACATCACAAGCCCATCTGTTCACCCCACCAGTCCTTGACAGCCCGACTCGGGGCTGGTGAAACCTCTGTTAATCTGTTAATCCCATAAATTCCAATCTATTACAGGTCTAATTTTACCTGAGTTTCCCGAGCCTTGATCTACACCATTATATACCGTCTGGTAATTTAAGGTATTGGAACTCATCATTTTTCAGAACGATAAATCATCATAAATCATCAACAAATGGTCCATGTTCCATAGCTATGTAACAAATAACCATAGTAGGAAATCACTAATTATAATCCTTAGTTTTTTCAGTAATCACCACCAATAATCCCTATTGTTGTCAGTTAAACCACCATTTTTTCGGATGTCAAACAAGAGTAGGAAACCGCCACATGCCCATCACGACACCTGGGATGCTTCGCTGGGTCCTGACCTCGCCAGCGCCAAAATCAAAGGGTGATCGGTGCCCACAGAACTTGTGGATTGCCAGATTTTTTTCGGGATTCCGCCGCCAGGTCCAAAGTCTCCAAAGTCTCCAAAGTCAGTGTCCCCCAAGCAGAAATAGCGGAAGTAAAATATGTTGTAAATATATATATAGCCATCCCCAGTCGTAGAGGTTTATGGCTTTAGGGTCTACCAGGTAGTCTACCACATCAATTGGTGATATTATCATTTCCAGTGACAAATGATTTACAGCGTTGAGTATTCACCATCAGCTTTCGATCCAGAGGACCACTTGATCTCTTGAGGTACCTAATTTTGACGATGGCTCACACACATGGCTTTTGTCGCTTTTGTCGATAGGGGGAGCAAAAACCGTATCCATCCACTGGTTTACTCACCTCATTTACCCAATATTTCCATGGCCAGATATGGGGGTCTCCATTTTCAGACGCAAACGTGTATTGTTTAATATGCGGATCAAGCAGGCATGGGTCATATGCAACAAGTTATTGGATACCTCCCGGACCTTTAACACCGATGACATGGAAAAGGTGCTGTTTTTTATGAGTCGAAAAAACATTGGAGAACTCCATTGAGTTGGTTGATATAGAACATATCCCATATTGATTCGAGTTGAATTAGGTTGGTCAATCACCGAAATCACATCCCATGGCCAATCATGAAAAACCACCGTGTCTGGTTCAAATCCAATGGAATCTAATGGTTTTAGCTACAGAAGTCTCCCCGCGTTGTGGCGCTTGGAACAACTCAGAGACCAACCCAGCGTGCCTTTGACCCCGCGCACCCTTCGGCAGAAGGAATGGGCCCTTGGCAGCTCGAGCATCCTGGCAATCTGAGTTCACCATGCAACAAACGTTGGAAAAGGCATGGGAATATCATGGGAATATCATGGGAATATGGGGATAAATCATGGGGAAAACAAAAACTATCTCACAAACATGGGAAAAAATGCCCAAAAGAGAACACCATCCGACCCCCGGATAAAGTGTAAGTGTGTCGTCCAAGGTATGGGTGGTATATTCCAATTTCCGATTGACCATCTCTATTCAGGCACGATCAGGTTGTTTCTTTTCATCTGACTTTGTTATCAAATCTGAGAGGCTCATTGAAAAACAAAAAAGTGTTTTGTAAAGCTTAATCATTTCACTATTCTTTGGTTCCACCATTGAGCAGTTTGCAAGCATCTAATGTCCTCCGCTGGTAGCAAGAACCAACAATATCATATGATGCAATTGAATTTTGGCAAATGCAACTTTCCCCCCGGTCCATACATTTATAATCTAGGAGTCATTCTACCAGAAATTTACGGCTCAAGGGTCAAAAAGGAAGCCCAAAAATTGTTCTACACGTTCATACATGATTTGGAATGTGAAAGGGGAGGGGGGCAGAGCGTACCAAAATCGGGGGTTGCTGCTATCCGAAATGTAAAGATATATTTATATATCTAAATGTGTATTGATGTATCCGTACAATGTGGTGGTAACGCGAAGGCGCAACAAAAGCCCCAAGAAGCCACAAGAGCTACAAAAGCCAAAAAAAGAGAAAAAGTCCAAGGAGCCACAAACCAAGAAACCCAGAAATGGAAGAAGCAAAAAAGCCAAGAAATTAGAAAAGCCACTGAAAGCCACCGAAAGCAACAAAATTAACTAAGCCCTGTAAGAAGGAAAAACGTATGCCTTAAAGTTCTCCTACAGAGAATAAGCATCCTTACCATAGTCCCTGTGGTTGCTGGTTAGCTAGTTCTATGGGTTTGTCCCAGCATCATATGGGTGTCTGAAAATAGACACCTAAACCCAATGGTTTGTCTGATCATTTTACATAAAAAGGCTATACTTGGGGAGGTTTTCCCTATTCAATGGCTATTTTCCCTATCATTTTACCCATCACCTTTTCGGTGCCTCGCGCGCTGAACAACACTCCTTCACCGGCAGCAGCGCCTGGATTGCCTCCATGGGAAAATCCGGGGGATTTTCCATGTGGATTTTCCGAGAAAAAAAAACATCTGGTAGTTAATCCAATGAAAATGGGGATATGATTGGGATACTTTTTTGGGGATAGAACATGTCACCAGCAACTAGAAATTGTAATGTACATTATTGTGATCTACAGGGATGTGAAGGGGAATATATTGGGGATACAACTGGAGTAAACTAGCAAACTCTGAATGGCTATCAATTTACAAACTTGAAATGTCTCGGGTTTTGGGGTTACCCCAATCCAATTCCCATCATTCCAGTGACCGGGTGACTACTGGCATACACTAACCGTTGCTGGATCCTGGTCGTTGAGCAGACGTTGCTGCGGATGTTTTTTATCATGTCTACCCGGTGGCTGTTCGTAAAAATGAAAAAGACCTGATGGCCTTTTCTTGTGGTCATTATGACTGATTGATGTATGGTGGTATGATGTGGTATAAGTTCGATTGGATTGTTTGATTGACCATTTTGTTGACTGAGCTCACCCCGGTTCTTGCTGAAGCGTCCGTTGTCCCAACACATTTGGGTGTTTCCAAGCCATGGGGTTGCCCAGTTTCGCCTTGCCGGCCACTTCCCCGGCAGCGTCAAAGTATCCTGGGAGGGACATCCCGAACGGAGAAAGGCACGGATGAAATTAACTACAAATGCCCGGAGAAAGGCCACCCTTAAAAAGATAGAAACAGTATTGAACACAGACCACTTGAATAAGATCTTAATGATCATGGACTTTAGTTGTCTACTTCTTTTTTGGCTGTTGATTTAAAATCTACCTAGGGACATGTTCCAATTGAAACCGTTCCCGCTTTGGGCAAAGCTAATGGTGGCAATGCCGAAATCCATAGCGAAGCTTAGATAAACCATCCAATGCGGGCTTGGGAAAGTCATGGCCTTAAATAATGGGGAAAACCAGCTGGATAATGTTTACAAACAATTGGGGATCTGTATGCCATTTGGAGATTATTTGATAACCATTTATGGGGATGGTTTAGTACCCATGAACCATCCAAAAGCCTCAGAAAGATCCAAAAAGACCAGCTCTGACTTTGTTCGCATCTCTACCCATTTGGCGTCGAAAATGTGGCCAATGAAGAGCGAAGATTCAACAATCTTGAAACCTTGTAAAAGCAAGTTGTGAGAGTACCCATCTCCCACTTTTCTTGTTTTCTTTGGCTAAAACCCTAAAACCTTAAACCCTAAACCCTAAATTAAGATCCTAAATCCTTAAAGTCAAAATCACTGCGTATAGCCAGTGTTTTCATTCATCCTCTGGTGATGAGTATATCATATTGTTTGGATGTGTTGTTTTTTGTGTGGGCGAACCCGGGGTTTGGAACATCTTTGGGGAAAATCCCTGATTTGGCCCCAGCTCATATCCCATATCCAGTTGACCCAGACCCTTAAATCCCCATGAAATTGTCAGTTCCCATGACACCCTGTTGTGATTTTCGCAGTTGATCCCAATCATCTTCTGGTTAAAAGTCACCGTTATTCATTAAGAAAAACCAGTTGAAATAGTGTTACAGCTACTAAACCCAGTTGAATATGATGAACTGTTTTTGGATGATGTATTCATTGATATTCCCAGCACGTGTTTTCCATCATATCAATATATCCCATGATTGATAATCCCCATTCTGGGATATCCAGAAAATATCTCCATACTATCCCCATTGTAATTTCCCATTCAATTATGTATTGTACCGTACCATTGTTCTATGATATCCCATTATATTTCAACTTTGTATAGTTTCCCATAGCATCTCATTATACCATGATCTTCCCATCCCCCAGAAAAGTTCAATTGTTAGACCATATTGGACCGGAAAAAAAAAACATTAAGTTCTGCTATTTAGAAATATAGGAAACCCCATATTAATCTGGTAGATGTTCCCTTAAACCAATCCAATGCTATATCCATGTGTTTTTTGACCTTGAACCAACTTCCACCCATATTTTTCATGGTAAAAACCGTGGTTTCCGGTCGATTTTCCCAAGAAAACCCAATCCAATGCCACTGAGCCGCTGGACATCGCCACCTTTGCCACAATCTTGCGGCCCGACGGTGTCACCCCTGGCGTGGCCCACGGCAGTCGCAATTCATGGATTCATATGGGCTTAATATGGTTTAATAATAATCCATATGAAGCGAAGATCAGAAAAAAAAATCCGCAATAATCCAGAATTCTGAAAACCATGATAATAATAATACTTTCTGGGGGATGTGAAGATCATGGTATCTATATATATATATATATATGCATTCAGATTCCTGGAAAATGGGTATATGAACCCCACCAGTATTGGGGCAACATGGGTGTCCAACAAAAATGACGGCCCACCACACCATCCCCCAACAGTTTGACCCCGATCATCTGATAAACCTAAAGTTGACCTGAGAAGCAAATCACCAAGATTCAACCATGGGAACCACTTTTTTTTACAGAACAACAGTTTTTTTTTCCCAGCGAATTCCTCGACTGTGTGGTTTTTTGGGCCAACCATTCATTGACCCATCAGATCTTGCCAGAAAGAAAACCCAAAACCTTCCACAAACTACGACCTGATGTTGAAAAGGATTTGATCTTTAAAAATCCACGGGATTTTTGACCTCCAAATAAACAGAAACCATGGCTAAAAACATTCTGTTTGAGCAAAAGTCCCATTTCGTACGGTCTTTGGGCCTGATTTTTGTACTTGTGGCTACGAAAATCCTGCAGATAGATTCTCTCCAGGGTTCCAACATTTCTGTCTCGCTGTGTACATGAAATCGCTTCCAACATGGGATCAGTTCTGGGCCAATTTCATGGACCAAATGGGGACGGTCCTGGTTTTAAGTGTTCAATCCATTTTTTTGTGGTGATTTTGACCGTCCCCGCAACTATTCAGGCGAAGCTTCTTCGAATGTACCGCATTCGGGTTGCAACCCGAGTCTTGAACCATCCAATTTTTGCGGCCAATTTATTTGATCCATGCCCATTTGGAACTGTCTCAAAATAGGCTATACCCAAAAAGAATCTTCGGTTCAATAGGGAAAATATGGGAACATGATAAAGTGAAACCGGTTGATTTGTTTTTAAAAACACAGGTACCAAAATCCGTCTCTTCACTGTTTTGCCTGTCTGCTGTATTCTGTGGATTTCGTAGTCCCAGCGTCTGCGGAACAGCAGACTGCTATCGGTGAAGGATCCTCAGCCATCAGCCGAGGAAGCAAAAAATGTTGGTTACAAGTATTTTTTTCAATGGGTAAGTAATAGGGAAAAACATGGAAAAACTATCTTAAGTGGCTATTTGATCATGGGTAAGCAATGGGTAAACAATGAGTAACATGTTGAAATGGCTAGCGAACTATCTTGAGTGGGAAATCATAACGGACATATTATAGTCAATGGGGAAAAATGAACACAACTAACATAGTTTCCAGCAGCCCTTTCTGTCTGGGGTTGTTGTTGTTTTTTTCTTCACATGACATCTCTCAATGGAGGCGTTCACCAGGGATCATGGACACAAATCGCCCAGTGGAACAACGCCACTTTCCCCGAGCCCATGATGAGTTGCAACCACAGATTGGGGTCATGTTTTCACACATTGCTATGACAAATATGTTCAATGTTTCATGACCATATCTGGATGTCATCGGTTTTTTTGTTGGTGAGTTGGACACCTTTTGTTAAACCATCAAAAGGTGGTCCAACATCCTCCATTTCTACAATGAAACATCTCATCATTCCTGATTTCCCACCATTCTTTGCTAATTTTCAATTTTGGATACCTTCATGTCCAGTTCAATGGGGTTGAGCCCCCATGTTTGCAGTCCAAATTCCAGTTGCGTTGATGGATGTCCCATGGTATCTGTTGAAACATGTTTAAAAATGCTACTGAATCCCAAATTTTGCTGATTCAATTCCTATATTTGATGTATAAATCATGGATAATCAGCATTTGACTTAGCCATCACAATTAATTTAATAATCATTAATAAATCCAATTTGTTAGTCATATCACCGAATAGACAGTTCCATGGCCTTCATAGATCTCTTGCTGCACCGCCTCCCCAGTCTTGAGGTTGGGGTGACGGTGAGAAGTTCAATTGACGGGGCAAAATTCTGCGATAAGACTGAAGGGTTGTCCTACAAATTATTTGGATATAAACAGCAATCATCAACAAAAATGGGAGTGCAACCAACCTCCCCAAGATGGATCTATAGTGAACCAATGTCGTTTCTGTAAGAAAAATGAAGATGAACCAATCCCTTCCCACAATGAAGATTTTGAGCATGTAAGAAGAGGATAGAATGTTAAAAAGAAATATGAGTAGATTTGCCAACAAATGGAGGTTTCCTAAAATAAGGGCTACCCCCAAATCATCCATTCTAGATTGGGATTTTCCATTATAAAACATCCTTTTTGGGTACCCATGTTGATGGAAACCCCAAAAAATACTCCCATGTTTGTGGGCCCGCAAACTGCATGGTTTCCAATGACCAATTCTGAGGTTCCTCCGGGTGCAAGGAACCGGGTTCCATGTGAAACACTCGATGATTAGACACGTTGAGACATGGCGACTGTGCCAACATGACACATGTTCCACCAAATCGGATCAAACGCAAAGCCGGTCGACATAAAAATGGTGTTGAAATTAATCGCTGCAAGACGAAACACGCGCATGTCGAAAATGGCCAAACGTCTGTGTAATCCGCACCAAACCCACCGGGATGATTTAGAATAACCCGCCACTATGATTGATACTTGGGGTTGGTTTATGGCAGCCACTGGATCACACCATGTTTTCACGTAATTATTCATCGGAAAAAAAAAAAAACACCCATTTTGACCATTATCAATTATTAACCAATATCATACCAAGATTGATCAACATGAACCAACATGAATCACTCTTACGGTCGTTTGGGTTCAAAACTTTTGGTTTTCAACCTGCATCACGCCTGGCCGTTGAGCAGTTCCTCCGACAGCGGTCTGAAGCCAATGTCCTGACGGGTGATGGGTCCTTTTTGATGTTTCCTGCAAACCCACTTTTGCATGTGTATACTGTATATACATACAAAATCATATATATATATATATGTATGTACGTACGTACGTACGTATGTATGTATCTACATGTATCCCCGTCTGGGCAGAGTTTTGTCGAGCTTTGTCAGGTTTCAACAAATTCAGCCAAACACAGCAAGGTTCTATAATTTCGGAGCATTAACGTGTTTTTGATTAAAAAAATAGGGTTGGATAAATGTTTCGGCTGACACCCACGGATTTAGGTTTCGTGTTTTGCGCGTGCTTTAACATCAAAAATATCCACGGATAAAGTCTCAAAAAAATGTACCTACCCTCATTGAGACTTGCCATGCCTGGACTTGGCCAGAAACTGTGCCTACCGTCATTGATACTTGCCATGCCTAGATGTGGCCAAAAAGTGCACCTACCGTCATTAGTGCTTGACATGCCTGGGCTTAGTGGTCAGTTAATACTTGATCCAGAATGAGAGCTAGGTTTTTCGTAGCAACAAGCGAGGGTCTGCGTATGAAGTCACCAACATTCAACGAAGCGTTAAATCCCATATGTGCCTCTAGGTGTCAAATGACAGTAAGAATACCAAGTGACAACTGTTTTTATCGATCAAACAATGCTTGGTCATTACCTGGCAATCCCAAAAGTAGGAGAATATCGACGAACAAAAGCGAGCTGCAATCAGTGGAGCTTATACATTGAAAAAGGAAATCGGCGCAAAGTCGATGAACCTGGAAATTATCTCTGCCGAAGTGACCCTGATCTACCAATTTCACCAAATGGTCAAGGCTTAAACAGCAGACTACATATCAACTGCCAATGCACAAAATGCAATTCCCATTCTTGAACACGTTTGAAAATTAAAAATCCAAGCAGAACAAATATCATGAAATTGAAAATTACTTCCTTCGAGTACTCCCCACCAAGTGATTTTCGATATGACGCATATTCTGACTTTATATCTGGCATTCTACTTGACATAAATTCTGACATTCTATTTGGCATTCTTTCTGGCATCATGAATTCTCACATTCACTCTGACATTCTGCTTGGCGTTTTGTCATATTCATCTGATATATACATATTTATACATATTTATATATATATATATTCTAACGTTCTATCTGGCATTCTACCTGACGTATGTTCTCACATTCTATCTGGCATTCTTTGTGGCATTCTATCTCACATCTGGCTCTCGCTGTTGAAGTCCGGCAGTGCCCACTGACATCCTTTTTGACCTCTCAGTTGACTTGCCGTAATCCCGACTGAGATCTGGAGTTCGCGGTGGAGGCCCGGCAGTGCCCACTGACATCTAATACTCGCAATTAAGGTCCAGCAGTGCGCACTGAGATCTGGAGCTCGCGGTTGAGGTCCGGCAGTGGATCTGGCGCACCGCAGTTGAGGACGGCAGTGCCCACTGAGATCTGGAGCTCGCGGTTCAGGTGCGGCAGTGCCATTGAGGTCTGGCATGTGCCCACTGACATCTGTCGCTCGCAATTGAGGTCCAGCAGTGCCCAATCAGATCTGGGGCTCGCGGTAAGGATCCGGCAGTGCCCACTGACATCTGCTCAATGACACTGAGATCTGCAGCTTGCGGTTGAGGTCCGGCAGTGCCCATTGAGATCTAGAGCTCGCGGTTGAGGTCCGCAAAATCTAGAGCTCGCAGTTGAGGTCCGGGGAGGTCTAGAGCTCGCGGTTGAGGTCCGGCAGTGCCCACTGAGATCTGGAGCTCGCGGTTAAGGTCCGGCAGGGCTGGCGCAGGCAGTTGAAGTCTGGCAGTGCCCACTGAGATCTGCAGCTCGCGCTGAGGGTGTGGTGCCACTGACATCTTGAGCTCCAAGTTGACTCGCCGCCGGCAGTGCCCTTGAGGCCCGGCAGTGCCCACTGACATCATTGAGCCTGAGCTTGCCGCAATCCCCCACTGAGATCTGGAGCTCGCGGCTGAGCCCTTCACTGACATTTGGCACTCGCGGCTGAGGTCCAACTGAGATCTGGAGCTCGCGGTTATTGCCCGGGAGTGTTGAATCAGATTTGGGGCTCGCGGAAAGGATCCGGCAGTGCCCACTGACATCTTGACCTCTCAGTTGACTTGCCGTAATCCCGACTGAGATCTGGAGTTCGCGGTGGAGGCCCGGCAGTGCCCACTGACATCTGGTGCTCGCAATTGAGGTCCAGCAGTGCCCACTAAGATCTGTAGCTCACAGTTGAGGTCCGGCAGTGGATCTGGCGCACCGCGGTTGAAGACGGCAGTGTCCACTGAGATCTGGAGCCCGCGGTTCAGGTGCGGCAGTGCGATAAGGTCTAGATACCCTCACCTGGCAGGTGGGGAACAACAGCAAATAGAATCAGCAAATCCGCAAACAGAACAAAAAGGCTTTGAAAACAATCCTTTGTGGCCCGCCCAAGCCAAATAGGGAAAAAAACAAAACGGTGTACGGTATACGTCATCTTGTTGATACTTATCTTGCGTTTTAAAAACAAAGTACTACGTTACTTTTTGTTCCATGAACAACATGGCTTTTGTGTTTCAGTTTACTCAGGTATCCCATGTGATGCCCAATGCAAAAATAACAAATTGTTTCACAACTTTACTGTTGGTTGCACCCACGTATCGTCGTCATATCCACTTTTTGTTGTTGCGCTACAACCAGTATCCCCAATCTCCATTATCCCGATTGTTCCGGGCAAAATTCTCCATGGTTGATGGGTATTTCCTATGAAATCCCATTAAAACCCCTCTATTTTTCGGCCCATGTTGGGATTAAAGCAACCTGATTTATACTATTATGAATTCATGGCTAGCTTATCCCAATGATTAGTGAGATACATCATAAATCCCCATTTTCACAACAAAGATAATAGTGGTACTAAAAACCAATGATCACATTAACACAATACTGAAAATATCAACATCCGTCAACTTGCCGCCACAAAATTGGAGTATATAGTTAAATACATTGCACAAACCACACTTTGTAAGTTCCATTAGAATGATGTAGTTCATCTCGATCCCCATTCACCATAAATACAGCAGAATTCTCCAACTCTGTTGAAATCCCATGAAATAAACAATGGATTTTCGTAATCTCCTTTTTCAATCCCATTGGTCAAATCATTATAAACACCATGGCTTTTCGTTAAACAATAAACATCATGGTCAAATAGTGGTTATCCCAATGGTTGTTGTGAATCACAGATGGCAGAGCGAATCCACTGATGGACCGACAGGTGGTTGGAGTTGTGTAGTTGGAATGGCTGCAATGGTTGCAGTGGTCACCTTACCACAACTGCTGGCTGTAGTGTGGTGTAGTGTAGTGGTAGTTGTAGTTGCAGTTGTAGCTGTAGTTGTAGTGTAGCGTAGCGGAGCTGTAGCTGTAATGTAGTGTAATTAGTGTAGTTGCAAGTGCAGTTGCAGTTGTTGTCGTGGTGTGGTGCAATTCGCGCAGTGTAGTGCAGTGTAATGTTGTGTAGTGTTGTGTAGTGTAGTGTGGTATAGTGTAGTGTAGTCGAGCGTATGGTGGTGTAGTTGTAGTTGTAGTGTGGTGCAGTGTAATTAGTGTAGCTATTTGTAGTGTAGTGTGGTATGCGTAGTGTAGTGTAGTGTAGCGTAGCGTAGTGTAGTGTAGAGTAGTGTAGTGTAGTGTAGTGTAGCGTAGTGTAGCGTAGCGTAGTGTAGTGTAGTGTAATGTAGTGGTAGTTGCAGTTGTAGCTGCAGTTGCAGCTGCAGCTGCAGTTGTAGTTCTAGTGTAATGCAATGTAATCAGTGCAGTGTAGTGTTGTGTACTGTAGTGTGGTTGTAGTTGTGGTCGTATTTGTAGCTGTAGCGTGCTGCAATGTAATTAGTGTAGTCTAGCGTAGTTGTAATTGTAATTGTACTTGTGGTAGTAGTTGTTGTTGCAGTTGTTAGTGTGAAGGGTGTAGTGTAGTGTAATTAGATGCAATTTGTGTAGTGTAGTGTAATTAGTGTAGTGTACAGTAGCGTAGTATATTAAGTTGTACTTGTAGCAGTGGTGTAGTGTAGTGTAGTTGTAGTTATAGTTGTAATTGTCTATCTATCTATCTATCGATCTATCTATCTATCTCTCTCTCTCTATCTGTCTTCTGTCTATCTATCTGCCTGTCTTTCTGCAAGATTGAAAACGAAACTATTCTGCGAGACTTCCTCAAAGTTTTAACTTGACAACGTCAAAACGCAGCAATTCTACGAGACCTCCTCAAGGTTTGAACATGGCAACGTCAAAAACAAAGCAATTCTGCGAGACTTCCTCAAGTTGTCAACGTGGCAACGTCAAAAACGAAGGAATGCTGCGAGACTTCCTCAATTCTCGAAGTTGACAACATCAAAAACGAAACAATTCTGCGAGACTTCCTTCAAAATTGGAAAGTTGAGTGCAGAGCTGACGGCCTCGTACCAATGCGGCTTGCGATTTCTCCACTCCACCTGTCTACAGCACTGCGCCTGCCACGAAAAAGTGATGCCAGGTCATACGAAGTGCTGCACCTGTCACGCAAAATCATCTCGGCAAACCTGAACCCCTCTCAGGAAATCAGCGCCCTGACCTCCTAACATCTCTGATGAATATGTCTCTTGTACTGCGCCTGCCAAGCAAAACTCATCTTTCCAGATCCTCTTCAAATGTCACATGCCTGCCATCGTTTTTGGACATGCTACAAAACCCTCACGTTTTGCTCACTTTTGGCAAGGTGCAGCATCCCTCGCGCCTGCCACGCGAAACGATATCTGAACCTTCAAAAATGGTCCGAGCATGTGGTGCTTTTAACATGTTGACTTCGAATGTGCTTCACGCCACAACGGCGTACACTTTTTCGACATGTCAACTTCCAAAAGTGGTCCGAGAATGGTGTGTTTTGTGCATTTTGGCTTGGACACGTGCTTCGCGCCACAACGGCGTCCACTTTTTCGACATCTCAACTTCTAAAAGTGCTCCGAAGCTGAAGTGTTTTGTACAATTTGACTTCGAAATGTGCTTCGCGCCACAACGGCGTGCAGTTGTTCATCTCTCATCTGGCCAGCTGGCTCCACACCTGCCGCTTTAGCGAGCCTACTTTTCAACCCTCCGGAGCCACAAATCATTGGAAAAACAGAGTGTTTGGCGACTTTCCTACCTTTTCGCGCACCTGGATCTTCTTTCTTCTGAGACTTTATCTTTTTTGATCTTCTTTCTTCTTCTCTTCTCTTCTCTGACTCTTCCCATCTCTGCTTTTCATCTGCCCATATTGTCGGAAGTTTGACTTCTAAACTTCCTTCGATCATGGTTTCATGGTTAATTTCTAGCTAATCCCAATAATGATCTACAAATCCTTATTATACATCACAAATACACCACAAATGCATCATGAAAATCCCCACTTAGTTCATTGCAATTGAGCCATTGTGTATTAATCCCATAATTTTATTGATGTTGATCAAGAAAAATCCGATGAAAAATCCCATATGCTTAGTGAACACCAATGAAAAACATGTTTTTTCATGCCAATTCCCAAGTACAGGAAATCCCATAAAAAAAATACCGTTGATGAAAAATCGCATGAGAAATCACCTTAAAAACCATAGTTACAATCCCAAGGTTGATGATGAAATCCCACAGTTGATTTCATAAATCCCTATTATTTTTTCCACCATAATTACCATCATAAGTAATCATCATAAATTAGATAATATATGTTTGCTTAAAAAAGTGAAATACCAATGGAAAAACCATTCAACAAATGCCAAATCCCAAGTAAATCCATTAAAACCATAGTTACCATCATCAATTTCCTATCATTTCCATACTTTTCATCATAAATCCCATCATTTCCGATGGATAAACCATAGAAGAACCATGGCCGGTCTCCTCCGAGGTGGGCGGCTCGGGCAGCTTGGGGAGCTCCTCCAGCGCCAGGTCAGCGGCCTCGCGGTGCCATCGCGGTGGCTTTTAACCAGCCGAAAAAATCGGATGGGAAAAGCCATGAAAATTGGTGAAATCAGTGGAAAATGTGGGGGAAATCAAGGGAAAATCCATGGGAAAACGCGGGGAAAACCCATGGGAAAATGTGGGGAAAAGCAGGGGGAAATCTATGGGAAAATGTGGGGGAAATCAAGGGAAAATCCATGGGAAAACGCGGGGAAAACCCATGGGAAAATGTGGGGAAAAGCAGGGGGAAATCTATGGGAAAATGTAGGGAAAATCAATGGGAAAATGTGGGGAAG